GGGGGGGGGGGGGGGCAAAGCCCAAAGTCCATAGGGCGGTATAGGTTGAGGACAAAATCTAAACTCCGCAGAGTGATATAAGGGGTGCAATGTTAAGAGCGATGCTATAAGGCTTAGGGGTTAAAGGCGAAAGGCCATGAAACGAGAAGGTAACGAGATAAAGAGATAACGAGGTAATGAGGTAATGAGATAACGAGGTGAGGGGGTAATGAGGTAACGAGGTGACGCGGTGATGAGGTAGTGAGGTGAGTAGGTAACGAGGTAATGAGGCAATGAGGTAACGAGGTGAGGGGGTAATGAGGTAACGAGGTAGCGAGGTAATGAGGTAACGAAATAAGAAGGTGAGGAGGTAATGAGGTAACGAGATAAGAAGTTGAGGAGGTAACGAGATGACTGGCAGTCTGAGATTCTCTTGCGGCGACTCGTCGCGGTTGCGTCGCGTTTTGTGACAAACACTTGCGTGGCTTGCCTCATTTGTGGAGCAGGTCAATCAATCCAGGTCATTCTACTTACAAATGCAATTTCTGTAAGTCATTTTCTCGTACAAAATAACCCATATTGCCGTAATTGATTGTTCACAGGCATTCGGAACGTGTACTTACGAAGAACGACGTCATCAAGTTTTAAAATTTTCCCTTTTCATCTTCTTGATGGCTGTTGCGTTTTTCGTCATTCGTTTTACACAAGTAGGAAAATACCTCATAAAGCGTTTCATATTTTGTACATCAATAGCACAAAGTTTTTGCTGTATCTGGCTCAAAATTGACTGAGCGTATTCGTGCTAAAGCTTTTGCACACATGCTGCGTCAAGAAATGGATTTCTTTGGTCGTCTTGAAAATAGTTCAGGAGCTATTTGTAATCGTCTCCCATCTGATGCATTCGCTATTCACCAGATGGCTGATGCTTGTCTAGGCATCGTTTGTGAATCAATCGCAATGTTTGGAATTGGTGTTGTTCTAGGAGTTTTTGTCAGTTGACAATTAACTTTAATCTTACTCTTCTATATTGTCGCTTTATTTGTGGTTGCTTTCATGCAAATACGCTGGGAAGCACGATTGAACAAACGTTCTGATTGTATTCTTGGATTAGCAAGTTTGGTAAGATTAACATTTTGAATACAATATAATATACACTGAAATATCGATAGTGAATCTTCTTTTACTAATAGCTCGCTGTTGAGATCATTCTCAATATGCATACAGTGAAGCAGTTGACAAGCAAGACAGAATTCGTACGTCAATTCTCATATTTAGTTCTCAAAGAGTTCAAATCAGTTTTTTAATCATCTTTTTCTTTAATCTCTATACATTATTTTCTCATAGAATTTGTCGAAATGATATCAGAATATTCTCGTTACTATATAGTATTCATTGGAGAGTGGGACCATTTATTTTGCTGTTTCTCTGTTAGCAGGCTCTCATCCTTGTTGAACACAAAGAACTTAAGATAAACAATATCTTTATGCACACAAATAGAAATCTTTAAGATCTATTTTACCTGTATGTTTTTCTAGCACGTTTGCTTATTATACTTTCTCCATAGAATCTCTACGACCCACCATGATCTTGTAAGTCATTGCACGCCAATCGATTTCTTTTCCTCAGGTGCGCTTATTCAGAACGCGACAGATGAGTAATTCATTGTTAGCAGCTCGAAGTTTCTTCAATTTGTTCGATCGAATATCAGCCATTGACCATTGTTCCATGGATGATCAACAATTGGTGAGTGATTCATTTAGTAAAAGCCTGAGTTTTGAAGAGACTACTCTTCTCTCATTGTTGAAATGTATTGATGATAGAATAATTTCAAAGGTGAGATCGAATTTGACTAAGTCAAACTTGTATATCCATCTCGACTGATGTCTTGCATTCTGAATAAATTTCAATTGATCATCAAACCTGATGAGTTTATTTTGTGTATTTTCAATTCAGTTTGTGATGATATGTATCTATTTGTCAATTAGATCATCGTGTGGCCCTTATAGGTATGTTGAAGTCAGTTCTTGTTCACTCGAAGTGCTTATATAATCTATTTACAAAGGTACATCTGGTTGTGGCGAATCGACAGTCATTCAACTCTTGGAACGATTCTACGATCCCATACAAGGTCGAATTGTGGGTATCTCTCTTTTGTTGTGTTAATATATTCGTGTAAATACTCGACCAGTAAAATCTAGTGTCTTGATGGTGTTGCCATTCGACAATTGAATATCCAATGGCTTCGCTTGTGTCTTGGTCTCATTAGTCAAGAGTCTATCTTGTTCGATTTGACCATCGCTGAGAACATTGCCTATGGTAAAAAAACAAACTTTAATTGAAGATATTATCGATGCAGCTACCAAAGCCAACATTCATCATTTTATTCAGCAGTTACCTCAAGTGAGAAAAGAATAACGCATTATGTTTCATTGTGTCTTTGTGTCGTTACAACAGAGTTATGAGACCAAAGTGGGTATGAAAGGTAGCCCCTTGTCCGGTGGTGAGAAACAACATATTGCCATTGCTCGAGTTCTTCTTCGTCAACCAAAAATTTTACTACGAGACGAAGCAACAGGCACTATGGACTCGTACAATGAACAAGTTCGTTTTCTTATGACACTTGTTACTCAAATTGCCATTTCTGATATGTTTAGATCGTGCAAGAAGCTCTTGAAAGAGCTCAAACAGACGATCCAACTCAAGCTTCATTAATCATTGCTCATCGTCTGTCAACCATTCATTCATGCGATTTGATCTGCGTTCTTGACAAACGACATCTAATAGAAAGTGGCACTCATGCAGACTTAATGAAAGCACATGGAGCCTACTATCATATGATTGCTTGCGGCAATACTTCATAAATTGGCTTCATCGTTATTTTAACGAAACTGACTAGTAATTAACATGAACTGTTCTACTTTTCTTTTCTGTATTAATTTTTCGAACACATTTTTTACATAAATTTTCTTTCTTAGCAATTTATAAGACATATTGACAAAATTAAGCAGTTTTTCCAATTAAACTCATCAAGACGATTGATAGGACAGAGAACAAGTCTTTCTAAAGGTCTTGTCAAACACTGGTTACTTCGACCTTTATGAACTCGTTGAAAGCATCTTGTAAAACGACAGTTAATTGTAATCAACTATTGTCTACAAGATATTTTTAATGAATTCATATAAAAACTAGAAATTTATTGTGAGGGTATTTCTCTTTTTTCACGTCTCTTTTCTTTTACTAATATATGACAAATATGAATCATACACCGTTCGAAAGAGAATATAATTTCCTATCAACTAGTGGTAGTGCCACAAGTGGGCTGGAGTGAGCTGAGTCCACCCTAAATCCATTTCAGTCTACCCAGAAATTTTTAAGTTCATTAAGAAACTTCTTTAAGATTTTGTATAGAATCGTTAATCGTTCATACAAGCGATTTCCTAGCATACCACTTTCTGAGCTGTCAAAAAGGTTCTTTCTAGCTTTCTAATGGTTGATTATTGAAAAGTACGTCAAAGTTTTAAATAAAACTCAGTTTATAGTGTAGAGTATTTCAGGAACAACTCTTTTAGTTCCCTTTCTCACGTTCCTGTTCTCGTAGGACTTTGAAAATTCCTAGTACGATTTTGTTTTTCGTATTTGATATAAACTATCATTACAAAACACTAGCTTCTGTTAAGAGTGAGAGTGTGGGGTGTGGATCCATCCCACACCCACACCAACAGCCGTCTTCTCAGTTGAACATAGACAAAATTGATACACAAACTGTTATTGATATTCTGCTTAAAGTAGCAAGATAAATCGTCAAGATACAAAGGCAATGGTACAAATTAGTTCGTTTTGTTTTTCAAATTCTCAATAACAGCAGAAACCACTCAAAAGACGATTCTATTTCAGTTTGTTAGTGTCATTGAATTAACTGAATCAATTAATGAAGTTTTAGATAAAGCCGATCGGGGACTTACTGTTTTATTATTAGTCGAAGCAGCCAACAAAATAGAACAAGATGGACATTTATTGTGTATTATATCGAACAAACAGTAAATGTGAAAGTTTCATGAAGCAGTTGGCTCAGAACACGTTGTCAACATTGTTGAAACTTTCTAGGATAGTGTTAGAACCAAAGGAATTATAACAAAAACGTAACAAAGCAAGACAAGATCAATACATACAGGTTATTCAGCAAGCACCCTTCGAAGCATTAGGATTATTTATCGGAAAATAGGGCTTGTGCTATTTTAAAACGCTGTAGAGAAAATAAATTGTTATCTAAAATCGAATTCCTTTGTAAATATTTAGTAAAGGCCATAAATGTTTTGTGACAGGGAAGTGTTGACTGAGTAATGAAACGAAAGAATGCCGAACAAATTCAGTTTTTAAAATGTTCTGCTTGTACGGTGCAGGTAGGGGTAAAGATGAGTTCTGTAATATTGGAGGAGAGATAAAATAACCCTTCGTGCTAGTTCTCTATGGTAAATATGTACAATAGAATAAGAGACGAATATTTACAATTGATAAATCCTAAGGGGTATTGGTGACTCATTAAGAAGAGCCATTGACTTCGAATAAAAAAACGATCTCGACATCTCCTGATGATCGGTCAGTTGCTTTACTATGTAAGGGTAGGTTTAATTGTGACAATAACATAACAATCAAAATAATAGCAATCGTTCTACTTGTCCACGAAGACACATACAATATCAAAATTAATGCATTCACATGAAAAAAAAACATCGAATATATTTTTTGAACGCATTAGATAAATATAACGGTTTTTCGGGTATTTGTAATTTATTCTTTGATATATTCATGGAAGAAATATAACATGAAGATGAGGAGAGAGAAGAGGAGAGAAAGGACGAACCAAGAATGATTGATAAACGATACATGAACGCAAGTATTTATATGTATACGCAAAAGAGAAAGAAAAAAAAGTAGAACACAGAGAGCGATCACTCACAGCGATAAGTGTATCACCATTGAATCCGTCACAATTAACAATATCCACATTGTGTACAATATTTTGCATTAAATACACTGTTTTGATTACTACATTTCGGACAATCGCTAAAGATTCCTTTTGAAAATGAATCAATAACTTTACAATAGGATGGTGGCGGAGGAGTAGCTGGAGCAATTGCATATTGAGAGCATTGTTCATTATCTAATGATATTGTGACTTGTTCAAAATCTGGTAAAAGAACAGAAGCAGCTGAAGTTTCAGCAGGTGACTCTAACCGAATTGATCTGCAATCAATTGGTTCACGTACAGAACGTACTGTTGCTAATGCTGCTCCCTGCTGTTGAAGACGAAATTCTATAGTCAACTAAGAAAAGACACTGAAGTGCTTCCGAAAAATATAAGCATCTTCAATTTCATAGTAAAGATTTTGAAGATAGTAAAAACATCATTCAGTAAACGTATACGTACTTTTAATCTTTCGCCTGACCCTCTATTGCTAATCTTTTCTATGATCCACGTGGTATAAGCTATTCCATTAATAGTCATAAATTCTTCATCTGCAATTGTTTGTATATCAGATTGTAATTTTCTGATACGTATCGCATCTTTTTTATTAGCATATTCAGCACTAACACCGCAAACAAGAGTGCCACCGACACACACAATGACAACTGCCGACCTGTACCAAAATAAGAAGAAGCATTTCGTTAGTAAAATGCTATAATTATCTTAGAATTTAGTCATCTGATTGAATTCTAAGTTTGACTACAGCATAAGGATGAATTGCATACTAATTGTACAATTGTATGATCAGCAATTAAGTTGTCCATATTTCTTGTTTATAATCATTGAATGATTTGAAAATTTCACAAAATACTATTTTTAGTAGTGCCATACACTTCTGAAATTTCAGCAATCTGTTCTACACTCGCATTCTCTTTATTAAAATCAGCAAGGAAAAAAACACAAGTAATTAGCACCTGACTTTAGAAAAATGTCTGTTTAACAGACAGATAGATGCAAAATACTGACTTTATAGATATCTTATATTTTTTTATGCCAAACGGTCTTGTTATGTAAATCAATAAAATAACTCAATAAAATGGAATCTAACATGAAATTATTATGTATCATTCAATTCGTCATCGGTGCACCGATCTAATGCATACCTTTCTTGGGCATAACATTTTTTAATCAATTATATTTATTTCAACTTTTCACCATAAATCGTTCGGTAGATTTAACGGAGCTCCATCTATTAACCCTTTGAATACCAGCATTCTGAATAAAGGACACTTTCTTCAAATTTCTTAAATGCTCAATGACTCGCGAATGTGAAATGACATTGAAGTGCGGTTTTCTGTATAACATAGAAGAGACTCCGGCGCATACATCTATATAAGAGTAATAATTCTAATGAGGTCACTCAGAAAATAAGCCTGGTGAATATTTGCTATACCATCTCTATTGTAAAAAGAAGGAGAGGGAATAATGCTCTTTTGTGGTTCCCAAAATATTTCGGTTTTCCGCGGTGAAATCACGTTGGAAGTGACTTCTGGTAATATTCTGGAATTTTGACCCACACCTGTACTTGCCGAGAAAATGACAAAAATATTTCTTCGTCGTCTCGTTGAGAACTACAAACATGAACCGAAAATAACAAAAGATTTTTTAAAGAGATTTGATGAAAATATTCACAATACACACTGCTTATTTTTAAAAATAAAATCTCACAGAAATTTCGTCTACTAGTTGAACAATGTGACTCAAAAGTTTAGTGTATAATTTGTTTCATTTTGTTAAAAATAACAAAGTATTTTAGACAAATTCTCATGAAACTGGATATACACAATTTTTCTATTCAACCGTCAATCTTATTTTTGAGCAAAGTTGCAAGGGAATACGGCTTTTTTCTAAATTTTTAAAAGTGTGCTACCAAGATATTAATCAAAATTTTTTATTCCAATTCTACAATTGGTATGCAATTCGCTCGCACACACACACACATATATATATATAGCCACATACCTAAAATATTTTTTCTTTTTGCTCATAAATACTTACATATTTATTATAAACCCACAGATGAAACTAACTTTCAGTGATTCCATTATCAAAATGGCAGAGATCGTGATTATGATGCTTAGAATAAATACAATTATTATCGTGCCACCGAAACACGATATCTTCATTGGAGAAATGAAGTTTTTGGTTCGTTGATTAATTTTCGATATTATACGTAAATATTGATCACATGTGATATAACAATTTAATTGGCCATCTGGATAGGAGGACGTATCGACATAAAAAATGCCATGCTTATCGGATATAACTAAAAAGATTTTAAAAAACACTAATTTTGGCTTATTAAATGATAAAAAGTATTAATTTACTTGTAAATTTGCTTGTTGTCATATTGTTTAGCATTCTTGATTCGTTTATGATATAAATGGAAAAAGAATATTATAATGTGATAGAAAAAAAAAGAGTTACTACGATCCTGTAACGATGATGTTTGAGAAATGTAGAATAGAAAAACAGACAATGAGTCACATTTGTTCCTTGATTACTAACAAACCGAAAGAAACAAAAATGGGTGGAGAACACCTGTGATAATATTTAGTGTGAATGAAAACACATAGCTTTTTAATACTTTATTAACTTATATATATATATGTTGTGCATCACCTTCTTTGTACATTTACTTGTACGATAATGCTTTATTCTCAATATAAATTAAAAATCAAAGAACTATGCTATTTATAAAAGAGCACATTGCGAAATTTTTGTATTTCGAAGGCTTATTCATCAGAAGTTTATTTCACGGATTTGATTAGTAATCCCCAAATAAACATGCTACTGTCGTAGTTCTCGATTTCTGTGTCTTCTTATTTTTTGCAACGTCATCTTTCGTAATACTATTCACATACTAGAGATACTTTTATCTGATTCCTGATCGATCCACTCAGAACAAATTCTGTTTCAATCAATAAGATGTTCTTGACCTGCAATACTTTGTATATTACATTGTGCTTTAGTGAAAATTTTCTTAAGGACTTCAATCTTTCCTATTTCTATTTAGTCACCGACACCTGAAAATCGAAGTATTCCATCATGATAATCATTTTGCATTATAAAAAATGTTTAGTATGAACTATTAGTAGAATTTAGGAGACACATGAGGACTTGATAAGGCTTTTAACAGATTAAACATCAGGAACAAGACAAAGGTATGTTTCTTGAACCATCAGCAAAATTTGAACTGTTCAAGCAGACAAGAATTTCCAAAAACACGTTTAAATGCACTAATCTCAGTTTCCATTTGAACATTTTTACACAGTTTTTAATGTTTTTTGAATGAGCGTGAAAGCACTCAAACGGAAATCGCGATTAGCGCGTTTGAAAACGTTTTTGAAAATTCTTGTCTGTTCGGGTGTTAGTGAGAAAAATAGTTAAAAAGTCGAGGAAATAATAGGTGAATCAGAAGAATAAACCTTTTGTATTTTGTTGATATGTTGTAATAATTTCATCACTTAAACTTAAAGTATTTGTCAAAAGAATCAGCTTAACGAATGTGACTTCATCCATTTTTAAAGCATAACCTGAATGCATAGAACTATGACGTTTAATTGTTAATGAAACAAGTCAAAAAAAAGTGTAAAGAATGAAAAATTTTGATGTTAGTTCTACGCATATAAGTAATGGTTAAAAAATAGATAAAGTTACATTCGTTAAATAAAATATTCCAATTTGTTGAGAATGGCATGTTGATTCTTTTGTAAAATATATTAAGTCTAGCAAGAGATGGTCTCCAAGTGCGTCCTTGAAATTTCAACAAAAATGATATGGGTTTGTCAAGTCAAGTGCTATTACTATCGTGTTGGTAGTACTCCTATATCTCCAGTTATCTAAGTACATTATGCTGATAGTTCAACTCTCGTCTTTTGATTAACTGAACATGATGTATAGCATTGGCAAAAAAAGCGAGCAAACTAATTTTATAATATGTAGACATCTTCGATGAATTAAGACTAATCAAAACAACGAATAAGTTTGAGATGAAGACAGCAAAGCGAATCAAGTAGACTACTAATTATCAAACATTTATCAATCGATCGTCGAAAAGATAACTCGATCATTGAGACCGATTTCAAGTATATTTCAATCATGTCTAATGCGCAGATCATGTTAACAGTATGTGTACATTATTTAATAAACTTAATTCTGATCTTGTTATTATTCTAATAAGTTACTTACCAGAACGATATGAACAAAAACCAATAAATGAAGAAAAATTTGTGTTGAGGTGCTACTGAATAGATCTAGTGTTGTGTATGTGCCAGTGCTTGCTTGTTTTGGCGAATGATTCTTTTTTTAACCTTTGTAGCAAGGCGAATTTGTTCGTTTCTTACCACTTGTTACTTTATGTAGTTGTCTTACTTTTTCTTCGATTTTTTCATGATATACTTTATCGCGAACGTATATATACAAGATGTACACGTTGTACACAAAATGATTTGTGTGAGTGATTTTCTAAGAGTAAATATTGCATGCGAAATGACATCACAATTATTCATATTTCAAAAGATATCGAAAAGCAAAAAGTAGTGGAAATAAATCAAATTATTTTTGTTTTGAGACGCGTAGTATATTATAGTCATGTATTACTACATACCAATAAAATGCCTCAAAGCAAAAATTTTCGATAGATATCCTCATATGAAATTGATATAGAGTTATTACAATCGTACACACTCCTCTTTATATACTTCGACTAGAATAGTCTTCAAAAACAAATCTAGTTTAATGATAAAATTAACAGCTTAATGTACTCAAGAAAATCTCTTTGCACAAAGTTCTTAAATTGCAAATAATTCAATAGACATATTACAACACAAATATCTAATATAATTTTCCAAGTCTGTCAGCCAAAGAATGATATCAACGTTGATAGCTGCTGATGATTTTCGATGATCTCTCATAGACCATTTCGAATCATAAGAGAAACCTTAATGAGAATGAAAGTGTAACTGTTACTTACATTTCATATTCTCACGGTCACACCCTAGCTCATTACGACAGTATCAGATATTGTTGTATCTCTTATTCTCAAGAACCAATATTGAAAATTCTGCTATGTGAAAAAGCAAACTATGATCTTATGTTTAAAACTTAGGCTAGGAGAAACTAAAAAATCTGATCCATAGACAATGAACTAGTATTGTTGAGAATTTTATTGATGCAAAGCTTAAATTCATAGGTTGAAAATCGATGTTGAAGATGATTTGAGGAAGATCAGGAGTTTTCTTTAGAAAAGTTTATTACAATTGTCATAACTCAAGAAAAAACAACCGATGAGTATAAATCCTTGTAAGCGTCTTCTGTACTGTTAATAGGGCGACATTAATGAGAGAAAACTTCTCTCAAACTATTCTACCAATGTCAACAATCATAAATGTGAATGGTTATATCAATCACTACATCCGATTGTTTGCCTCGAACCATCATATTATTGTACTTAATAAAGCGCCTATCAATTTCAAGAACAACTTGAAGATTTTCAGGGAATCTAACTTTAACTTTCACCAATTTCGTTAGTCGAAAAACATGTATTTTTTGTATTCTGTCATATTTTTAATAACTTTTCAAAGTTTCTATTCGTAAAATGAAAGAATATTTTGTTGTTTTTTTCGTGTCTCTAGAAATTCCTGTTGATTTTATTCATCCATCATCTGATATTGGTACTTAAGAACGTTTGTCAGAATTAATTCTTGAACTTGAATCAAATAAATGCGTTCATGTTGAATAGTACTGTTTTTCAATACAGTTAATATCTTATACTGATGAATAACAAATATTTTTTTAAACATAACGATCTTATACATCATTTAATTATAAGAAATATTGAAATGGATGCTCAAAGAACATATACATGTCTTTATCCACCAGAACATATTGATTCATGATTTGGTGTTTATCATATTTTTCTAAGAAGTAAATTCTGCTTGAACATATGACTTACTGTTCAATTTGTTTGATTGATTTAGAAGATGTCTTCAGAATGTGTTTGACTGACTTAGAATATGACTTCGGAACATGTCCACGAGTATAGTGATTAAGCAAATAATTAAGTATAAATGACAAACCCATGTTATGAAATGTATTCTTTAGTGCCGTATCAAATACTTGCTTTGTTTCACGTGTTGGCGGATCCACAAAAGTCCGCTCGATCCAGGCTTTATTATCTGTACTCGCGACAAGATGCTTTATATAAGAAGAAGTTGTTTCGTCGTAGGAAGTGAGGATCGTCAAATTACTTCAAACAGAAACTGAAGCATCATATTTAATGGATTCATATAGAATAGTTGCATTGTGATGATAGGATGCTATATGAAATGCTATACCTCCATTAGATTCGATTTGATTGATTTCCTTCGGAGTCATACGTGATAAATACCATTTTACCCGAGGAATGTCATTGTTTGAGCAAGCTTGATAAAAGTCGCTCGTTGCTCTTGTCGACGATTTAGCTATTGATGCCGTGGAATACTGCTCTCCCCTCTCTTCCTGTCTCTTGCTGAAGGTATACGATCAGTTTAGTTACTTTTATCTATAGTTTGATATCGTGAGAGCTTTGTTTGGAAATGGTTGAGTGATGTATCGATGAAAAAAGACAATGTATCGAAAATGAACAGTATCTAAATACAATATATATATAACTATAGATTATCTTTCTAATTGAACGTGTGAATGCGCTGTAGTATCGATAGTAGAAACTCTTTATAATCAATATTCAACTGTCTACCAATCTTTCATATGAGTAATAGATGGGTTAGTATTCAACACACTATTTAATTATGATTAGACATCGGATTTGATATCAATATATGACTATCACATTTTCTATTTTCTTTATTTTTGTCATTATTTGTGTCATGTATTTAGTTTTTTCTTCTCTTCTGCCATGTCATATAGATCTTAGCTGCAAAGTACATATATCGATTTACAAGTACAGCACATCACAAATGCTTATGTAATCAAATTATTATGATACTTTCGTATACAAAAACATTTTTGCTGTGAAATAGCTCGTTCTAGCAGTAGATGTTACATTTAATAAATTCAATAATAAAAATATTTGCTTTGGCAACATTGTAAAAAAGACAAAGACTTTTTTGAAGTAAGTGGAATAATAAAAAAATTGTTCACAAGAATTTTAATCTAGAATAGTTTTGGGCTTATAGAAATTTTTTTCTTAAGTAAAAATGATTGACCACGTTTTACTTTTAAAAAAGCTAAAAGAAAATTGGTCAAACAAATTTTTTTCCAAAATTCTTATAAATATTGGGCAATGATCATTAATTAGAAGGAATTTATATTTTCACATTATGTTTAAACCAACGCTTTTCATCTAT